CTTCTACGACTGAACTAGACTTTTGACAACAGTAGCTTCTACTCTCGTCCCCTGCCCATAGTGAGCACTTTGCTCTGGTGTCCCCTAAGCTAGTCTCTGTATTTTAAGTAATGATAAACTAACAGGAAAACTCAATCAAGAGGAAAGAGACTTACCTGAGATCAACCACCCAGGCATATATCAAAGCAGAGGTGATGGGCACCAGATAAAATGCAGTCAACATAGAAATAGGTTTCAAAAGGGGAATACTATCTTCAGCAGTCCATGTAATATTGAATAACTTCAAGTTGTTAGGAGTACCTAAATGTGGAAGTGCGCGACGATAGGTTTTCTTCAACTAAACTACCAAAGAACTTACGAGCTGTTGCCCCGGCATGACATCGTGCATCATCCGAATACACAGATCGAACATCAGTAAAATCTGAGGAACTTCACCTCTGGGCAGCACTAGATCAAGACGGCGTGTGAACTCCATTTCGTGCAGAACTTCATCGCTACCGATTCGGCGCTCGATGTTTCGAATGTAGGGATTCGCCTTTATGTTATAAATAAATGAATCATAAAGGTTATAAATATATAATGAATATCACTGTAATTGTTAACAGGGCAACAAAATGAATTCAAATGCTTATAAATCGCTAGCGGCCACACAGAAATCTAGCACTCGCTCCTCGATCCGTAGTCGCGCTTAGGCTGCATTCATGCTTTCTATTTAGCAGCGCCCATTAGCTACCACCAGCATAGATCAGCGTTGAGGTACGCCATCGACTAGGAAAGTATAGGTATCAATCTAGCAAACGCCAGCGTCTACCAGCTTCCACCGTCGTCCACCCAGGTTCTCGAGGGACTAGGGAAGTATAGACATCGATCCGTGAACGCCGGTGTTCATCAGGGTATAGCAGCGTTCGCGAGTGGAGAGTATGGGGAAGTAGGAGGGTAGCAGACAGCTGGATTAGGTGTCGTGAAATTGCGGCGTGTGCAACCGCAACTGCCGAAGCACATCGTCTCCCTAAGCATCTTGATGCATGATGTAACGCATTTGTACGGTGTGGTTGCACGCACCGCATCACAACGCCTAATTCAGCGGTCTACTACCTTCTCACTGCCCCATACTCTCGACTCCTGAACTCTGCTGTACGTTTGCGCTCGCTAGATCGAAACCCATACTTCCCTACTCCCTCGAAATGCTTGTGCACGATGACGCAAAAGGATGAACGCAGTCTTGGCTTTCTGATAGCTGAGGTATCCTAGTTTCGCTAGCTGCCGATGGATTCTCTAGTCTGTGAGTGTAAGTAGTAGGAACTAGAAAAACGCCAAAAGTCCAACAATAACTCAAAGTTGTGAGTTAATGACACTCTTATTAAACATACTTCGCTTCGGGTCACAACCAGCTGAGCACACAAGTCGTCATTACTCATGATCAAAATACGAAGAACTTGTGCACCTCAAATGAGAGAACTATCAGCACAGAGACTAAGACAACCACAACATCCAGAAATGATGAAAGCACCAACCTGCAGTACTGAGTCGATAGGAGAGCGGTCGAACATAACCTGCACGTTGATTGATTAGAAACTTCTGTTTTGGTGTTCCATAAGGCAATCTAAATTGCGAATAGCGCAGCAAAGAATAGAATAACCTGTATCCAATTTCGAGGCTGCAGTCTTTCAGCACCGGCAGTCCAGTAAGTCGTAAATTGCAGCCACTAAATATAGGCTACAAGTGAAAGGACTTTTTGTCAATGCTGAAAGAGGGCCCAAAAATTGAGTGTCCAGGCAATCATAAAACACACCATTAGCCAGTCAGTTGACTGCGCACATTGCTTTGCGGTAGCGTCCACAAGGCGACCACCAGGGTCCACTAACACCGTCCAGCGTCGGCGACTGGGAAAGTAGAAATATCGATCTATCGAACGTCAGCATCCAACGCCAACATCATTCAACGTCAGCATCTACGAGCGTCCACCAGCGTCCAGGAGTGGAGAGTTCGGGGAAGTAGCAGTGTAAGACTGCTGGCGGAGAATGAAAATATAGGAAGGAGCAGGCAGCCGGATGCGCATCGTGAAATTGCGGCGTGTGCAACCGCACCGTACTACTACACAATACCGTACATTAAATTGCATAATTCTGTGCTTTAGCAGTTGTACGGTGCGGTTGCACACGCCGCAATTTCACGACGCCTAATCCAGCTGTCTGCTCCCTCCTACTTTCCCATACTCTACC